GCTTCCGCCATGATCTTGCAAGTTGTGAGATGAAAATGCAAAAAAAAGATATACTGTACAGTATGTCTGCACTAAATCTAGGAAAATCTTCAAAACTCATTAATACATTGAATTGTTCATAAGGATCATTATACTAAATTGAGAACTTTGAAAACACAGATCAAAATAATTCAGTTATTAATCATCTTCGATGGTGAGTCGAAGTCGAATGGCTGAGCCATAATATCGGCGCTGGTTCGAATGGCACGTTCGTCTGTGGTTCTGAAGGTGGAACAAGTCCTCGGATAAGGACTATAAACCGTAGGCCCAGTGTACACAATTTGGCTCGTGCACTTTAAAGAACCCAGTACATCTTACAAGATGAAGGGTTTACCCAAGTGTACTGGTCCATACAGACCCTTGCTGTCTTTTGATGGGATTGCCACTTTGAAGAGTGATTAAGTTCACTGTTGGGCATACCCTTGGACCTAGTACCTAAAGTTCAATAAATAAATAAATATATTACTGACTAATTAAAAGTCTGACAAGAATTTTAAAACATTATTTATTGTAATATTCTTTGGTTTAATTTTTAATTGAAAGCAAATAGTTATAACTATACATATTAATTTAAATATGAATTTTATTGTTGAATATCTTAATGCCATCATTGATTAAAACAGATCAATTGTTTAGAAATCGTGCATCTGGTTTTTTTTTTTGCATTAAAATGTTCAAATTTAATATACTTTTACAAAATTAAATAATTTAACATGAACATCTGCAGCTTCACTAGAATTTTAATTGTAAATTTAAATTATATTGTATGTATATATTGGGTTTTTTTCTCCATCTAAAGGTAACTTAAACTATATTTAAATATTATATCCAAAATATTAAATTTGATAAGCAATCTTTAATTTAAGAAATGTTCATATTAATTTAAATATTTCATATTCAATATTAATATTTATCAATTTTATTTTAAATTATAATCACAATAAATTTTACAAACTTAATAGTAGTTATTGATCTCAAGTGTAAAAGAACAGTAACAAATTGTTTAAGCGTCCCATTTTAGTGCACAAACCACAGAGGGATTAATATCAATCTATTATTTTGCCAAGACCTTCGCAGCTTTCTTCATTTTCTTTCCACATTTCTTCTCTGCATATTAGATAACAGAAGCAATACCTTCAAGGCATTCGGATATCAAATTAAATAATCACAATAAATTTTACAAAATAGTAGTTGTTGATCTCAAGTGTAAAAGAACAGTAACAAATTGTTTAAAGCGTCCCATTGTTTAGTGCACAAACCACAGAGAGATTAATATCAATCTATTATTTTGGCAAGACCTTTGCTGCTTTCTTCGTTTTCTTTCTACATTTCTTCTCTGCATATTAGATAACAGAAGCAATACCTTCAAGGCATTCGGATATCAAATTAAAGACGGAATCATAACTTCATTTCTCTCATTTCCTTCGACCATGATTTCAGCTGATATGTAATTTTTTCCATCTAATACGCTGATGATACAATGTCACCCAATACTCAGTGCCAAAAATATTCAAATCATGCGCTCAAAGCAATCTCTTTGGATTGTTTTTTCTGTTCTTGGTTAAACTGAAAGGGATATAGATTATGATACTGTTTCTACTCAACCATAAATGTAGGACTTTGAATAAAGTGAAACTTGTTAACAGTCTTCACATCTTAATCAGATTTTGATAATTTCTGCACTGGGATTTATGTATACAGTGTTCTCTATTTACTTAGTCAAATTTGTGAAAACAGTTTATAGAGAAGAAAATTAAAACATCATATTTAATCTTGAATAGTAAGTGTTTGAACAAAAAAATATCTGTCACTATTTAAGCAAATTTAAATATGTGGTAACGACAAGCCAAATCAGTCACTTGCTGCATAGTCAATTTTTAGTTATTAATACAACATTCAACAGTAAAATGAGAGCTATAAAATGGTAAAAGAATTATTTAAATCCGACATTTCCTTAAGGAGTTAGAAACGTTTAAACATACAGGTGTTTAAAGAACAATATTTGAGAAATCAGCCTTCAAAGTTTATGATTTTGGGCATTTCTCAGGAAGAAACAATCACCAAATTGTTAAATATTAATGTTTTAGCATTAAAAATGGTGACAATTATGGCATAGCATATATATAAATGTATAAAGGTCAGTTTAGTGCAATAAAAAAGATTTTTAAAAAATTGACATTCCAGCATGTTTTGGCCAATATCTCTGAAACAGGATTTGCGACGAGTGACTAGTTTGGCTTGTCTTTGCCACAAATGTTTGTTGGTCTGAAATGTAGTATCACATTTCTGCTAGCCTTCTTGGCTCTCCACATTATTACCCCGCTTATTGGACTAAACTTCCATATTAAACACATAATGAGCTCTCTGGGGAAATGTTCCATATCCATGCAGCTAGTAATTGGCTTGAACCGATGATGGAGATATCAATATTTTAAGGGGGTGCTTGAATTGTCTCACTTAGGCTGGGTGGGCTGTCTGGGGCCTTTGTTTGCGTTCAAGTGACAAAGCTCCAGCATATTTAGAATTTGAATAACACAATTTTACTTGTTATCTAAAGTAGTATTTGATTTGAAGTAAAATATGACAATAACATTAAAGGTGACAACTTTTTTTTATACCTTGTCTAGCAAACCCTTCGTCTTCCAATAATGGTGATTTCGAATAAAAGTGAAAATTATGTTTTTGTCCAGCTAGCGAACCATTCGCCACCAAAAATTGAAATTTTAGAAAAAAAAAAGGATATATTTTATTACCTCTTCCGCTCTCCTGAAATCTCCAAAAATAAGGTATACTTCTTCCTTACCTATATACATTAAAAGCATATATCAGTCTCATTACTGTACTATTTACATTCAATTTTATTTTTATTTTCTCCTCTGCCTAGATGCTTTTGGCAAAATAATTTTGATAACCCCAATCTGATGATCTTTAAAAAAATAAGTTTTGCTAAACAATGTATTTAGTCTTAAATTTAAGTCTTGCCAAAATTGAAAAATACTTTTCGGCAATATAAATATGAATTGAACCCTCAAATTTAAGGTCTAGAGCTGCCAACCAGTTAAGTTACCAATCTGCTGATACAAACAGTGACCAAAATAAAAGTGTAATAATGTTAGGCCTATATGTTATAGAAAATTTCTTGTGCATTCTTTATTTTTGAGTTCTTTAAAGGAATAAAATAAATAAGGTAGTAATGCCTTGGGAAAAAAACTTAATGCCTCCAAATATGAAAATTGCCTTTATAATGACTCCAGCACCAAATGTTATCTGTACACTGAATATACCTTAAAAAATTATCTTCGGAGAAATGTGCTAGGTCTCCAAACAACGGTTGTATGATTAAGCATTTTTTCCGACCCTTCAAATTAAAAAAAAACAAAAATATTCACATTGTAATGAAGGCTGTTCCAAATTTTTGTCTTCAAATTTCATAATTGTTAACATTATATTATCATCATCATCAGTAGTCTTTTATTATTATTAACATTATTTCAAATGGAGAAAAATTTGTATTAAGATATTGCTGCTTGGCTTTATGCATTGTAATAATGCCTAATATAAAGTATGAATAGTAAAAACCAAGACTGAATCGAAGGAACGAATTCATTAAGATTACACTACATGGACCTAAAAAGCGCAGAGTAAGGCCTCCGATAAAAAGGAAACTTGTGAACCCAATGCAAGACAGATTGAGGAATATTTTCATTAGGCTGAATGCCACGTAAGCCTCTGATATACGGGAAAGACCTTTAGACTCCGAGGGACTGACTGTGACGGTCTCCTGGTCTCATATGTTCAAACGGTGCTCTACTCTGTAGTCATGCTTTTTTTCTCGAGGGCGCCCTAATCTGGTTGCAGGTGGTCTTTATCCAGGATTAACATATTATTTTCAATTTGATTAATATGCGTTTATGCTGCAAATTGTGATATCAGGCAGAAAATGACGTATCGATAGTAATGTGCAATGTGATAGACTATGTTGGAATTGCCGGAACTGAGAGTTACTGAATAAGAGAGGAAGTTGTATAATGCAGGGCTTAACACTTTCACAAAAGTATTCATGTCATCATGCATATGAATGATAGGCCTATGCAAATAGTATTGATAATCAAATCATGCATATATTAAATATATTAATATGTAAATGATATTGATATTCAAATAATGCATTATTATGTGATAATCCAGTTAAAACATTAGCCATAAAAAATATTAAATAATAACTTCCGATTAGATACAGGTCAAAATAATTATTTTTTATTGGTAAAAGGCTTATAATATTAAAATAAACACTTTATTTTTTAATCTGCATATCATTTGAACATTATTATGTAATCTTTTTAAATGACCTATTCAATATTTTGGCATTTTATTCAACTTTGTTAATGTTAATATGTTTGTGTATTCTCATAGGTCAAGTCCATAACTGTCCAAAAGGCTTCAAGTCTGACACCCATAGAAGATGTATTGGTAAGTTTTACAAATTGATTATAGGTGTATTTATTTATATTTTTCCTTTTGTCTACTTGATTATGTTTGTACGATCCTTCTTTATTGGGTGCCGCAACATACAGCTGTAATATCGGCGCTGGTACGAACGGCACGCTTGCCTATGGTTCTGGAGGTTTCTGGAGGTGGAACAAGTCTTCTTGGATAAGAAATCATGCGTATATTAAATATATTAATATGTAAATGATATTGATACTCAAATAATGCATTATTATGTGATAATCCAGTTAAAACATTAGCCATAAAAAATATTAAATAATAACTTCCGATTAGATACAGGTCAAAATAATTATTTTTTATTGGTAAAAGGCTTATAATATTAAAATAAACACTTTATTTTTTAATCTGCATATCATTTGAACATTATTATGTAATCTTTTTAAATGACCTATTCAATATTTTGGCATTTTATTCAACTTTGTTAATGTTAATATGTTTGTGTATTCTCATAGGTCAAGTCCATAACTGTCCAAAAGGCTTCAAGTCTGACACCCATAGAAGATGTATTGGTAAGTTTTACATGTGCACTTTAAAGAACCCAGTACAAATTCTGTCGAGATGAGTAGGGTGTTACCCCGGTGTACTGGTCCATACCAGGGGTGCTTGGTCCAGTGACCGGGAGTAATAATGTAAAGCGCATAGAGGTTAATCTACAATATGCGCTATATAAGTCAACAATAATTAATATTATTGTTCACAGATGTCTGAAAGGGGTGGGGGGGCCCTGAAATTTTTACAATTTAAATGCCCGAAAATAACCTGTAACTTGTAAGGTGTTTTTGGTAATTGATTATTTTTTTTTCTTTTTTATTTATTTTTTTTTCACATCTAGATTTTGAATACCAGCTTTAATTCAGTTTCTATTGTTATTATTTGTATGTTAGACCTGTGTAATACAGTCTGGTATTAATTATTTACTTTTTATTATGAATTTTTGTTTTTTTTTTTTTTTTAATGTTTAATATTTAAATAATGTTAGTGTTCATAATAAAATTCTCTGGTCTGACATTACTAATAATACTGTAATTAGTAATAATAATAAAACTAATAATATAAGATTTAAACATTGATCTCATCCACTGCTGTAGTAATATTATGAAAGGTGTTCTGAAAGAAAGTTATAAATTGCCAAGAAAATAAATCCATAGATTTAACCAAAGAACTAAAAGCTATCCAAACGCTTCAGCATGAACACCGAGAATACCACATCATTTGCCAGTAATTTGTGGTTTTAAATAGCACAAAAGACAGCTGACTTTTTTTATGTTATGATTTATTTATAGCATGGAGACAATCTCTCATAAATGTGTCAAACTAAATAATGCATTACATTATACAACAATTGGTAACTGGCAAAAAATATGTGACCAGAAAAATATTAATCAGGCGAGGGAATTTTGAAGTGGTAGACTGAGACCTTCTCAAGGATGTTACTTAAATGTTTAGAACTTCAAAATAAAATTATAATTATGATAAGAAAAAAATAATAGTCCTAGGCTGTAATTAATTTAATTTTACATGAGTTCAATTTTAAAATAGCAAGTCCCTTGTGTGTCTATAAAACATTGTTTATCCATTTTGGCATCATTTACATGGCTCAAAGCTCTAATAGGCATTGAGCCAGAATACAGGGTATTAGCATCTAATTTTGTTATATTAATTAAGTTGATGGTAATATTTTAGGCTAATTTCACATAACTTTCTAATTTATTGATAATATCTTATGATACAGGTATTAATAGTAAATAGGATGATGATTATTATAATAATATAATAGTGATAACTTATAAGGTTTCAATAGGAAATAGATATTAAATTCTTTATAATAATACAATTATAATAATTTGTCATTAAACTTACTATAAAGTTGATTAATTGATTGTTTGATTAATTATTACTAACCAGTAGGGGGGGTGGATCCAGAATTTTCACATAACTTTCCAATTTATTATTAATATCATATGATACAGGTATTAATAGTAAATAGAATGATGATTATAATAATATAATAGTGATAACTTACAAGGTTTCTTTAGGAAATAGATATTGAATTCTTTATAATAATACAATGATAATAATTTGTCATTAAACTTTTATAAAGTTAATTGATTATTTGATTAATTATTACCAACCAATAGCGAGGCAGATCCAAGAATTTTCCACACAGGAGGCACAACATATTCAGAATAGATAAATGAGTATTTCTGTATATGCATTGAAATTTTCAAATTTAGTGGCAAATTGGGAGGCATGTGCCCTCGTGAACATTCAAGCAGTCTTATAATAAAAGAAAATCTGCAATAGACAGAGTAAATCTTATTGGAACCCACCCATCATAAATGTTGGATAAAAGCATTTAAATGCTTGCTATCCCAATACTAGCATATTAAATGTTGCTACATGTTCAACTGGAGTAATTAACATAAGAATGGGGCAGTATTGTGTACTTTTGTACAGAGAAACCATAATACTTTAACTCATAACTTTGGATATGGTTAATAAGTTGTTGAAATAATTTTTCTATGACACAAAAATCATATTTGACAAATAAACTCGGAAGCGGTTAATGACATACAGACTTTTAAATGTTTAAAAACTGTCGGGGGCGGGGGGAGAGGGGGAAGGTAAAAAAAAAGGTGGTTATGCCCGTTTACCCCAAGTTTTTAAATATTCAAAATCTGTATCTCATCATCTGGCTGTAGACTATTTCGTCAAATATGCTTCCTCCGCAGCCTGGCTTTAAAGCTCATAATGTGAAAAATATGAATATATTAAAAAATAAATTTTCATATTTTTAAAAAATCTGATGCTAGTTTTGGGATGGCAAACCTCATTTATATGCATTCCAAGAAGTCAATATGAAGGCCATATAAGCATTACCCTGGGGATTTGAAGTGTAAATTAGTATTTAATAGCAGCTCCTTGCAGCTGCTTCCAGGGACTCTTAAAAACTGGGGTTGTTAATATCAAGAAAGAACAGGTCTACACACTACCTGAGCATCTTTTTTTTTTTTTTTTTGGTAAAACTCTGTTAATACCATAACAGACCCACATGGAGAAGTGCATGTCAGCAGTGCAGGTGTTCCCCATGGGGCCAATTTTGTTTGATTTGATACCCTCAATAATATGTACAGTCACATAGTATGACCTCTGGAAGGATATCAGTGCAAATTTTTCGTCCCTGATGGCTTATTGTTAAGTAGTATATCATAATACACCTCACCTATCTGCTACACAATCTGTGGCTTAAAATTTGGTTGCTATTTGCTGCTGTTATTATAATGTCCACCCAGGCTTTTCGTATCATGTTTTATATGTACATCTTAGAATTTCTTCTTTATGACCATAACATATTCTGTTATGTCTGATCATTATCCATGATGTTTAGTTTTCATCCAGAATAAGGTCTATTTGTGTTAGTAGTATGTTTAAATGATGTGAAATACTACCCCTCAGAGCCGATTATTTTTTACATCGGTATTAACATGTTCGCTGCCAGGGACGTGTGCTCACGTCCGACAGGGTTAACTCAGAGCGTCACGGATGCAAGTTCACGTCCACACCTGTCTGAACATACCACTATGGATTTGCACGTAAATTCGTTGATGGGAATGATTTTCATTATGGTCGTGCCCCTCATGCCTTGGCATATAGGATGAAACTAGTCAAAAATGCTTAGCAGTCAACATGCTAAAGGGCATTATCAATGATTAATTGTTTGATGACAGAGTGTACCCTTTCCTTTAAGGCTAATAGTGAGAAACCTAGTGTCCAAAAAAACAGGTTTGCGAGATAGGCTTGCCCAAAGCAATTTTATTGCATTTTCTGGATATTTTGGGTATGCTGAATCAAAAAATGCAAGGGTCCATTTTTTTCAATATCGTCTTGGCCGCCATATTTGAATTTCAAAATGGCTGCCATTTTAACCATAAAAATGACCATAACTCTACTATTAAAGCAGATATTGACATAATTTCAAGTGTTAACCCTATGTTTTCAATGTCAACCTATTTGATTTTATTATTGTCATAGACCATAGATGGCGGCCATTTTGAATTTCAAGATGGCCGACCGTTTTTCAACAAAATATTCATGGAAAACAGGTATTTCAATTATCATGGTGCTTACAACAATATAAATTACAGTGCATGCCTCAACCATGTGCCTACATAGCCGATTACACACAGGACGTTTATGGGCTAATCCATTTTATGCTCAAGGGGTATGTTTAAAATAAATAAATATAAATAAATTCAGGAAGAAATTACAAACCATACAGAAAGGCTGTCTATCAACAAATGAACTATAAAATATACACAAATACATATACATGTGACTTAAACTTACCTGCACGATATACCCGATAATACACGCAGGGCATGTATGGGCGATTCCATTTATCCTTGAGGGGTTTAAAATATATAAATATATGCATGATACTTAAAGCTTATAGAGCACACAATTAGGCATCCAGGATGAGTTTAACCACCACCAATGTAGAAACAGCGTCTTTGTTACATCTGGGTACACACAGGCACCCTGTTAGACAGTACCGTATGTTCAACCTCACGGCAGGATATAGGGATTGGAGATTTAGGGAGTGGAGTTTTTGGTCGTGGGAAAAACTCCTGCAACACTGACAGGAATTGAACCCAGGACTCTGGGATTGGAAATCAAGCACCTTAACCACCAAGCATCTAAACTCCAACCTTATGCGGCTGCACTACTGTGCACTGCAAGGAGAACGGCGCCAATTAAAGTATACAAACAAGGAATGAGGGAGTTTAACTGGAAGTGTAGTAAACGAGTATCATTATTGAATAACAGAAGGGAAAAACCAACGAAATGGTGATACAGTAGTTGATAGGGGATGATACGGAAGACGTTGAATCGAAGTAAACAATGAGAATAATCTTCCAGAACTACTGTATCACCATTTCATTGGTTTTTCCCAATGGCGGCGAAAGCGGGGGGCCAGAGGGGCCATTAGCCCACACACTTTTTCTACTGGGGGGGGGGGCAGGCCTCCCCCCCCCCACTTTTGTGACTGTTACCAGCACCAGTGACAAACATTTTACGAACGCTGCAATGCTATTATTATTATTATTATTATTATTATTATTATTATTATTATTATTATTATTGTTATTTCGTGCTTACACCTTGTTTATTTGCGCCTTATAAATTGACCTATTATTATTATTATTATTATTATAAAACATAGATTTTTTTTTTCATTTTCTAACGAACACTACGAGTTCTTTTTTGAGTTGGGCAACCAATGTCGATTGACGTCTGTATACGTGCGTCTGTAAAGTTTCCTTGAATCCCACCCTCGAGCATGCAGAAAAAATCGCCTGCGTTCGTAAATTCTGTATTTAGGCATTTAGACGTTCTAGTGCTCTTTATGCTGACCACGAAGATGTATAGTAAGTGTAACTGATTGGCTTACAGTAAACCTTCAAACTAGCATTATATAACCACAATTAAACTCTAATTTAACGAAAACAGTAAGATACTTATTAGGCCACTTTTTGAAAATAAAGTTGTCTGAAGTTTAAGTACCGGTACAGAATTTACAGTACAGTACACTGTAGTTAATGTGTTATAGGTGGTAAAAACTGTATTGAGTAAAAAGAAAATATTTTAAATAAAAAAATCTTTGGCTTGACATTAGGAATTAATCATTTTGTGAAACAAAATGTAGGCTATGTCAAGTGTTATATTGAACAGTGGCGGATTCAATGGGAAACCCAGTCAGCACTGGACCCCATCCCATTTTTTTTTTTCAAAATTATAAAAAAAAATATGGAGAAAACAGACAAAATTGTATTCAACTTTTAATCTAAGAGTGCCAGTTCCGGCCATCTAGATGTGCCATAATCATAATTTTCCAACAGTTGTGGGACTGAGGCGGGTGGACATTTTATTTACGCAAGACTCTCCTTGGAACACCTCTATTTCTATTTTCGACTCATTTCTGAGCTACATACAAGTGTAATTTTTATCCATCGGGGGAAAAGTGAAGTTTCCGTTGGGGAACCCATATCAAGGATAACCCTCACAATAAATAATTTATTGAGGTCGTGGAAGCAATCTCGACTTCGACTTTGTTCGGAAATCTGTGGCGCATTCAAGGGGAGGGGGAGGCTAAATTGTTCAATTTTTTTTAATGGAGATATAAGAAAATTATATTCAAATTTAAAGTCTAAGAGTATAATTTCCGGCCATCTAGAGGTGCCATAATCACAAATTTTCTTACTTCAGCCCAACCATGGCGGGGCTGAGGTGGTATAGATCCTCCATCTGCTGAAGTACCCAGTGGCGGATTCAAGGGGACCCAGCCGGCCCGCCCCCACCCTCCTAAATTGTTCAATATAAAATTGAGCTTTAAAGATAATTATATTCAAATTTGATGTCTGGAAGTGCAATTTCTGGCCATCTGGAGGTGCCATAATCACAAATTTTCTTATATCAGCTCCAACCATGGTAGGGCTGAGGTAGTATAGATCTTCTATCTGTGAAATTACCCTCCCTGGGCCCTTCTATTTCGAATTACTAGATCCGCCACTGGAAATACAACAAATATGAAATCATATTACAGTAGCTTGATGCCAATAAAATTCACCAAACTTCGTAAAATATTCGTAGCTTCCAGGGGCCTTCGCCCCTGGACACCCCACCGAGGGCCCTTGGCGGCCTCCTGGCCCCCAGCCTAGATGCTCGCTTCGCTCGCATACTCGGCCTTATGAAATGCCCCCCCCCCCCACTTTTAAAAACGTTCCTTTCGCCGCCGCCGTTGGTTTTTCCCTTCTGTTATACAATAATGATACTCATACTACACTTCCAGTTAAACTCCTTCATTCCTTGTTTGTATACTTTAATCGGCGCCGTTCTCTTTGCAGTGCACGGTAGTGCAGCCACAGGTATATCCTGAGGTGGAACACACTGCCTAACAGGGTGCCTGTGTGTATCCAGTAACAAAGACGCTGTATCTACATTGGTAGCGGTTAAACTCATCCTGGACGCCTAATTGTGTGCTCTATAAGCTTAAGTATCATGCATATATTAATATATTTTAAACTTACCCCTCAAGGAAAAATGGAATCACCCATACATGCCCTGCGTGTATTGTCATGTTTACTATACAGGCAAGTTTAAGTCACATATATATGTATTTGTGTATATTTTATAGTTCATTTGTTGATATACCGCCTTTCTGTAAGGTTTGTGATTTCTTCCTGAATTTATTTATATTTATTTATTTTAAACATACCCCTTGAGCACAAAATGGATTCGTCCATAAACGCCCTGTGTGTAATTGGCTATGTAGGCACAGGGTTGAGGCATGCACTGTAATTTATATTGTTGTAAACACCATGATAATTGAAATACCTGTTTTCCAGAAAGATTCAGTGTTAAAAAACGGTCGGCCATCTTGAAATTCAAAATGGCCGCCATCTATGGTCTATGACAATATTAAAATCAAATAGGTTGACATTTAAAACATAGGGTTAGCACTTGAAATTATGTCAATATCTGCTTTAATAGTAGAGTTATAGTCATTTTTATTGTTAAAATGGCAGCCATTTTGAAATTCCAATATGGCGGCCAAGACGTTACCGAAAAAAATGGACCCTTGCATTTTTGGATTCAGCATACCCAAAATATCCGGAAAATGCAATAAAATTGCTTTGGGCAAGCCTATCTCGCGAAATGACACTAGGGACCACACTATAAGGGTGAAAAAACGTTTCTAATACACGTTCAGAAACACAATTTAGCACCATTTAGGTTGAACCGGCTCATAACTGCAGCGATGGTATGTTGTAACATTTATAAGAAATAAAGTTGTATACAGTCCTTCAAGAGAAAAAAAAACAATTGTATACAGTAGTTGGTTGATGTAGCTTATAACATCAAGCCTAACGGTAAACCGTCTCAGACAAAATGATACAATCTTGATAGGAAATTCACCCCGAAATTACTTCCTTCTGAAGAGTACCGGTAGTCAATGAAGAGAAGTAAAATGAACTGGAAGCTGGCAGATACTATTAAATGTAGTTTTAATTAATGATTAGTATTCATGGTACTCATCCTAAGATTATAGTGTTACAGGTTTAATCCCTAGCCACTAGAAGCCTAAAAATAACCAGAGCTTTAGTATTTATTCAGAAATACAGGTTTCCCTCCAATTGAAGACCACTTCTGGGATGGGTTTTGATGATCTTTAGTAGCTTTATGGTCTCTAATTAGAATAATATAGATTAAAAACATTTGTTAATTTCAGACCACAGAAAAGTGGACTTTAATTGGAGGTGATCTTCAATTTGAGGGGTCTTTAATTAGAGGTAGACCTGCATGTAACTTCAGTCTTATGTATTCCCTGTTTGTTGAGACTGTACCACCTATATTTGCCATCCAGGCTAGACAATACTTACTGTTAGGTGTGGGCAGAGGTGAAGGGTGAGGATTTTACGACGATTGCCAAGTGACCATAAAACAAAGTAATTACACGATCATGAATAGAATAATAGGTAGAGTATAATTTCAATCCGGTCCATTCTCAATTGGATGAGATGCGGAAGTAAATAAGGTCAGTGACATTACACTAAACAGCAAATTGTAGCACTGCATCATGGGTTGCCTTGCCGACTGCTTGTGAAGGGATGTGGTGTGGTGGGGGTTTGGAAGAGAGTTATATTTGTGTATTATAGTATTATGATTTTAAATATAACTTGGACTTTCCAATTCTTACTATTTAATCTGAATGAAATGTAGTTATACAGTGCAGATGTTATTTTTTATATAATCTATTGGTTTTGAAAAGACTTAATAATAATAATAATTCTTTATTCGTCATTTAAATAGGAAATCGGAAATTGGGCTGGGCCCCTGGAGACCCACGGCAGCTGCAGTGCAGTACCACCCAACTTGACTACAACATAACAGACACATACGGATACAAACATTGTCCTTAACCTGGCAAGCCCTTAATATGAGGGTTATTCGAGGAGCCAAGCAATCAGACGCCAATTAAAAACTGACGCTGGGTGGGTTTGAACCGGGGTCTGCTGCACAAGAAGCAGGAACGATACCTCTCAGCCAATCCCTCAGCTTAGCTTAAGGAATATAAGACTGGTATACAAGAACAGGCTAACTAACCACAAACCAATTACATAATGACTGTCTCTTATACACATCTAGATGTGTATAAGAGACAGTATATATATTGGGTAAGGCTATTATGTTATCATCCAGATATTTCATCCGGTAAAACTTCAGCAAATTTAGTACATTAACTAGACTACCTTCGCTTTGTTGACGTTGTATTTGGCTGGCATGCCGTTCGTTTTCCTGGTCTTCTTCAGCCTTCTGTATCAAAAGAGG